TTCCAAAAGAAAAATGCAAATGAAACTAACCTTAGAGAGTGAAAACGGCAGAGAGTATTGCAAAGCCACTGGAAGGAAGATCTTTCGCAAAAGATCGCCGGAGAGGATTCAGTCAGCAAAAGGTGAGATGGAGACGGTAAAGAGGATCGATGGAGAATCAATGGAGCTTATAAAGACGAGATGAGCCTAAGAGCCGAGGAGTCAGGAAAGCAATGGGTTGTCTTTTTGAATCTTGAAGCGCCGACCCCTAGATCTAGCCGTCCATTCTCTCACACGATCTCCTCGAGCCGTCAAGTCATCATTAGCAGCCTCTAATAATTACCCCCTAATCAATAAGGGGTAATTAAGGGGGCAGTTGAGGATGCGGCAAGTGGCATGGGCCAGATATGGGTCGCGGAAACAATATCGGGTCGAATGATTGAAGTAGGATCCATGCCAAAGCACCCTGGAATGGGCCGAACGTGGGGGATCCACCGAGGAAGGTCAAGCCCATTGTAAGACCCAGCCCAGAAGGAAGAGAGCTTTCGGATATAAGCCCAATGTAATTGGTTAACTGCAAAAGAGGTCATGGCCTATAAATAGACCATGACGGGTAGAAAGTGAGAGGAGGCTAGAGAGAGAGAGAGGAAGTGAAATCTTGTATCTTCAGTGTAACTTTAATATGTAAGTATTTTAACATATTCCCTCACTAGTCACTTGACTCACTTGTGGTATTTTTATTTATTTTTTTTCCAACGTGTGTTCTAATTTTAATTATCAGAGTCATAAGACGATGGTGGGCTTTGAACTCAAAATTTTACGTTCTAAAAAAAAACATCATCACCACCTTATTAGCCTGATATTTAAAATTGAAACACGTGTTGAACAAAAAAAAATAATAATAAAAATAAAAATGGCCACACCTGAAAGGTAGAAGACTTACGTATCAAAGTTACACGCTAGGTCACATAGAGCCGGAGTGGAAGAATAATTTATTTTTCAGCCAAATTCCATCTTTTAGGACCTCAAAACATCATTTTTCTCTACGAGCCCTATCAAATATATCAGAATTTTTGTTTGCGGCCTAAAAGGACTTGGAATGTTCTAAATTTTAATATTTACTAGTTTTTAGTGATTAGGTTTCTCAATTTATTTTTTTTGGTAATTTTTGGAAAAGTTGATAAGCCTTTTTTTTTTAATGTTAGTTTCATCTTTATATTATGTTTCTAATGTGGTTAGTTGCCTTATAATTTAGAGTTTTATTTTCATTATAAATGTATATAGGGCACGGAACATAATAAAATATCAAAATTTTAAGCAAAAAATTGTTAACTTTGTGAATTTAAAGTTGTTAATTGTTCATTTGTATACATTCATATCTTTCGCTCCATCGTATTATTATGTGTAATTACTTTTATTTAATCTAGCAAATTAGACTAATAGATTTAGATGTTTGGCGAGTGCTGAGTGCATGAGCAACGCACCATACTTCCACGTACATGCACGATCTCTGAATTATCTTACATAAAATTTTGGTGTATTCATATATCAGAAAATTTCTCAATTCACATTTATCACTTAAAATAATTAGAGGTTTGGAAACTCATGCATCTCTTAAAAAGGTTGTGGTAGTAGTCTGGTGGTACTTTTTCACTTCTAAAATAAACAATTGAGGCTTTGATAACGTATATTACATATTTCAGAAACATTGAAATAAATCCGGAGTGGAAGAATAATTTATTTTTCAGCCAAATTCCATCTTTTAGGACCTCAAAACATCATTTTTCTCTACGAGCCCTATCAAATATATCAGAATTTTTGTTTGTGGCCTAAAAGGACTTGGAATGTTCTAAATTTTAATATTTACTAGTTTTTAGTGATTAGGTTTCTCAATTTATTTTTTTTGGTAATTTTTGGAAAAGTTGATAAGCCTTTTTTTTTTTAATGTTAGTTTCATCTTTATATTATGTTTCTAATGTGGTTAGTTGCCTTATAATTTAGAGTTTTCTTTTCATTATAAATGTATATAGGGCACGGAACATAATAAAATATCAAAATTTTAAGCAAAAAATTGTTAACTTTGTGAATTTAAAGTTGTTAATTGTTCATTTGTATACATTCATATCTTTCGCTCCATCGTATTATTATGTGTAATTACTTTTATTTAATCTAGCAAATTAGAGTAATAGATTTAGATGTTTGGCGAGTGCTGAGTGCATGAGCAACGCACCATACTTCCACGTACATGCACGATCTCTGAATTATCTTACATAAAATTTTGGTGTATTCATATATCAGAAAATTTCTCAATTCACATTTATCACTTAAAATAATTAGAGGTTTGGAAACTCATGCATCTCTTAAAAAGGTTGTGGTAGTAGTCTGGTGGTACTTTTTCACTTCTAAAATAAAAAATTGAGGCTTTGATAACGTATATTACATATTTCAGAAACATTGAAATAAATATTTTACTAAAAAACAATTAAACTAGCTATTATTTTTTGGACAAAATGGTCTAAAAATTAAAATTTACATAAAAATTTGTGTGAATGTATGAATGTTGAGACATGTGGAATAAAACATATTATATGAATAGAATTAATCCAAATAAAAGGGGCACATTACTGAAAAGATTGAAGCACTGCCAATTGGAGATAAAATGAAAGTAATTAAATCAATCAATATAGTTTACTAGCACCACCAAATGTATTTCTATTCCAAAAGTTTAAATAATAGAGATGGTAACTTAGAAATTTAAATGTTGGAATAGACAAAAGATTGTTGTTAATAGTTAGGTTGGGTTAAGCTCAGGTTGGGTTGATTCTTTTACGTTTTTACTTTGGGTAATTAAAAAATAAATAACTTAAGTGGTTTTCTCAAGTGGCCCGGTATGTCACTTGATTTTGGTGCTTGTTGAAGCATAAACATAAAGTTTAACTCTTAGGCTCCGTTTATTTGTTTGGACGTAAAATATTTTTTAGAAAATATTTTTTTATTTTTTGGTGTTTGGTTGTCGTAAAATATTTACGAAGAAAAAATATATTAAAATTTAACAAAAATAATTTATCTATCAATTTTCGACAAATTATTTTACATACCTTGCCGATGAACTCGACCTCGACCTCGACCTCGACCTCAACTTCAACTTAGATCTTTGCCAAACACCGTTAAAGTAAAAAGAAAATAATATTTTACCTGAAAAATAAAACATTTTACGTTGAAACAAACAGAGCCTTATTTGAAAACAATTTCATAGGGTGGCGTATGAGTATTGACTAATGCTGTATTTGGTAGGAATGAATGAAGAGGAGGTGGAGGGAAGATATGAAGGAAGAAACAATCTTCATTGGTTTGGCAGTGAGGATGTAAGGAGAGAAGAGAAAAGATGATGGATAAGTCATCATTCATCGTTTACAAATTTTCATTCATCCAAATATGGACGGAATACACAAAAGAAAAAAGGCAAAGCCATTACAAAAATATTTAAATTACAAAATTTTCCTTATAAATTGGCTCTCTCTTCTGTCATAACAAACAAAATAAATGATTATCTCATTATCTTCTTTTTTATCTTACCAAACAAAAATATGAAATGATACAATTTTTTTCATAAGAATGTCTCATTCATGTATTAACTTATCTATTCAGTTCAATTTTCTTCTTTCCTACTAAATAGAGCATAACAGAAAAAAAGAGTGAAAAATAAATCAATTTTTGCCACAAATTAGCGTGTTTTTATTTTTATTTTATTTTATTTTGAATGCATTTTAGGTATTCCCGTATCTAAAATGATGTTTCTATTTTTTAAAATAATATTTTTATTTTGAATACTTTTTTATTTTTATTATTTTTTAATTTTTAGAGCACATGTATAGAGCGGGAGCGGGAGCGAGAGCGGCATATCCCAAAAAATCTTAGAGCAGAGCGCCGCATTATAAATATATAAAATATTAATTTATAATAGTAAATATATGTTTTAAATAAATTTCAAGCAAATAAAAAGACAAAATAGTGAATCAAATATAAGTCCATTACAACCAATATAACCTGCTTTATAAAAATGCAAAAATTAACAAACATGACAATCAAACAAGTTGCTTTATAAAAATAAAAACATAACAGTGAACATGGCATAATAAAAAAATCAATGTTCAAAAATATTGTCTTTTATACATTTAACTGCTTTAAACTCTCAAGATAACAATTATTGTCTTTGAAATAGCAATGTACAAAAACATATGAAAAGTACATGAAATAGCAGAGAGAATATGAAATGATGGAACGAGAATAAGACTATAAGAGTGAATCAAAAGTCAATTACTAGTGAAAGAAGTTCAAGAATCACGAACCCAACACTTAATAGCTGAAAAGTTATTCATTCTTTTTTTTTTTTTTTTTTTTTTTTCCTAGTTGGTACTCATACACACATACCTCAACTGAGGTTCGAACCCTGACCTCTCTTTGAGAAATAGGAATTTGGTACTGCTAGACCACTGCCTGTTGGTCATTTATTTCTTTACTAATAAACAAGTATTATTAAATATTAACTATATTGTTATATTATTTGATTTTTACCTATAAAGGACAGAGTTTACTTAATTAAATTAAATTGATTATTTTTTTGACATAATTAACCTTATTTGGTCTATTTAAGTTAGGGGTAAAATCGAAATTTATCAAGATTCACACTAAATTCGTGAATTTATTGTCAAAAGTCATCGAATTCTTGAACAAAATAGGCGATTTTACCTTACACAATTCGTCGAATTGAACTTTAAAAATTAGCGAATTATTAAATTGAATTCGCGAATTCAAAAATATGAGAGCGTGAATATTTGGTGAATTTCCTCTCAAAACGCTAATTCGCACGGGGAGCGATAAACCGCCAAGAATTTGAACGAATTATGTGACTTAATATGGGGTCTATGGACCCGTAACATACACCTTGCTATTTGCGAATTCTTAATTTAATAGAGTATAAGAATTATTTATTTATTTATTATTATTTTTTAACGGTTTGCAACCCCTTCTGTGTTAACAAAATAGTCAAAACTACAGAGAAAGGTAGGAGCGAGCTCTGGTGTCACGGCCGAGTTTGCAAAGCATTAAACCAATAAAAACTACAGTTGTCGAATTGAGCGAGAGATTCTCTCATCGGAAGAACACATCCGAAGGCTGTCGTTAGGTATCATTATTTGGTGAAAAATCGCAGAATGGGCACAAATCGGCGAACAATCATCTCAGTGCTGTTGCTGCTGCTTTCACTGTCACCCAATTCTCTCGCTTACAGGCCCGGAGACCTCGTCCCCATGAGCAAAATGGGTCAATACCACTCTGTATGTACTCTCCATAGAACCCTTCAATTCCTCTCTCTCACTCTCTTATATATATACACACACATATTTGTACAAACCCATTTAATTATAATATTGATTTGTTGGTTTTTTGTAATTTTTCTTTCGCATCCAGTCGAGAACTGTTTGGCATGACATGATCGGTCGTCACTGCCCAATCTTTGCCGTGAATCGCGAGGTACCTTCTATGAATTTGTCAATTAGGGTTCAAATATATGGTTATTTGTTGTCTTGGATCAGACACATTTTCAAATTTATTTATTTATTAGTTTATTCTGTAATTGTTTTTGAACTTTATTGGAATGTTGTGTAGGTGTTGATTCCTATCCCGAAACCCACTGGTTTCACTGGTGCTGATCCGTATAAATTGTGAGATTCTCTGACCTCTTAATTGTTACTAGTATTATTATTATTTTTGAATAGACAAAAATTGAATTTCCCATCTAGTAAAATGAGATGCTGTCTTTGGAGTACTTAAACCTTAATGGAAAGGGTTTGATAAAAAAAATTGATCTTTTAGGGGGGTTCAATTATCAAATAAATATATAGATATCATGAGTCTCCAGTTGGGGGCAAAATATTCTGCAAATAGCTCTTATCATGTATTCGTAGGAATCAAAATTACATAGAATACATATTTTGAGGTTGTTGAACCCATGGATAAAGTTGGTCTTTTAAAATCCAAATGACCCTTGGCATATGTAGGTCTATATGTTGAGTTTTCCAAACTCATTCTTGTATAAATACAAGACACTAGGGAACATTGGATGCGATTCATTAAGTTGAAGGTGATATCCACGCCCCCCTCTAGTAAATTGCCAAAGGATTTCCTAACATAATTGGGGTGAATTGCTTCTAAAAACTGTCCGAGTTGGGGCCTTTTGTGTGAGCATGAGCTTTTTTGTTTATGATTGTTTCTCTATTTATCTCCAGTATCAAAGTCACAAATAATCCACAAGGAGACAGTGATACAGAACATATGTAGCAGTTCATATAAACCAGTTAGACAGTATTTTTATCTGATGTGAAATATGGGTTTCGAGCAGAGATAATTTTATTAATTGTTATGTATAAGTTTCATCTTAGTGTAGGTGTTAGTCATTATGTTACAAGTTATGAAGACCTCAATTTTGTTCCTGAGATTCTTTATTTATTTATTATTATTATTTTTTGGATAAAGGGATCTGGTGGTTCAAAATTTATTGCAAGCCTACAAACTGATTAAAAGAAACAAAGAAATGTACCATTGAATTTACTTGTATAGTACTTTGAAATATGATTTTATTGCTTATAGAGTGAAGGGCCATTATGGAATGCTGGTCCTTCCACTGTCAGAGGAAAGGGGGTTGGTTTGGGGAGGGTGCCAACAAATACGAGATTATTTGGCCAAAGTTGTTGTTTTCAAGCTCGAATATGTCTTCAAATATTTGACAGCTTGATTGTTATCATTTATGAAGTTATACAAATGCTTCTGTTTTTTATATTTTGTCTGTATTTATTATATATCCTACTCAATCACAATTTGCTTCAAATACTAGTATAATCATGGAATCAATGCTTTCAGTGATTGTATTTGAATCATCACACGTTCTATCTGGATTTGATCATTATGGCCAGATTAGTTATTTTTAATAATTCATTAGCTTGATTCTCTCTCATACAATTGGACACAGCCTGATTCCTTTCTCATACAAATGGATGCATAGTGGAGAATCTAAATATGTGTTATTAAAACTTGGATACATAGTGGAGCTATTCCTTAAGCTGCACAGGAAATCCATATTTAATTAAGAAAGATTCGCATGCAGATCCTTTCAGGTGGGAAGAGAAAAGTTTCTGATTCCATGGCTTCTTGTGATAAATCGAAAGAGTTCTGAGGTTCCATTGATTGATGTTCATTTGGTAAGGATTGCATTTAAGTAAAGATGTTGTTGGCTTGTTAGCACTTCCATATTTTGAACAGTTTTCAGGTTGCAACGTCGAAGCAAGACCTGCTTAATGGAATTACAAAACATTTATTGCATTACTTTTGATTGTGCTTGTGTTTAAGTACATTACACCTCTTATGTGATGGAAGTTCTCTTAATTTCCATGCGATACAGAGATACTCAGGGAGCGACTTGCATGGTGTCACTGCCAAAGTTATAGATATGCCACACCACTGTACGCATTTCTTTTTTAAGTTAACTACTTACTTTTTACTAGCATGCTAAGCAATTGGTACATTAAGTCATGCATATGGATGCTTTTATTTTTCCTCCATTTCCTTTCTACACAGTTTCAAATTTTAGGAATCACTATTAGAAATTTAAAACATGTGATGAACTATTTCATACTGTAATGATTAGAAATCATGACTTTTTCAGTGTTAAACAATGGGTCAATAGCACAAGTGGCAATGGGGCGGGTTTGGAACGGGTTACCGTAAACTCTACCCTGTCCCGTTTGCTAATACCCCGTCCTGAATCTGGGACGGGTTTAAACTTCTTTTCCTATCCCCGTTTATCACTTGCAGCAGTTAATCCGTCTTCGCTTGTTATGTCCCACTTATCAATCAGTAGTTGACAAAACCCATATATATGTATATATTTTGTAAATAAATATTGTTGTTTACCATAAAGTTGAAAACTCTAGATATATATATAGAGGAAAGAGGGGTTTGCCTAATCCTAGTACCAAATTACTGGCGCCTTCTACGGAGACATGGTCTTAGATTGGTGCTGACAATGGTATTTTGAAGTGCATGACAAGATACCGACAATTGTATCGTGAGAGAGAGAGAGATTGGGGGGGCGAGGAATAATTTTTGCACAGAGAGAGAGAGGTTCTTCTGAAATAAACAGATAATTGCATTACAAAAAGAAGGAAGAAAAAGCAAAAGATTGTAAAGCTCTGCCTTGCAAGTTGCGACTGCTGCAATGATACCCTCTTAAGCTAGATTCTCCAACATAATTGAACAAAGTTCTCCCTAAAGGCTAAATCTAAGTTACATAGGCTTAAAGTAGTATTTCTATGTTTTTTTTGCCTTATTCTCTGATTATTTTGAGGATACTTTTCTTTAGAAAGTTAGTTTGAGTTATTTTTCTGCTAGTTTTGTAGAACCTCACAATCCTCGATCCAATCTTACGATCCCAATCCTATGGATCCCTGTTGATCCTATGTGGAATCCTGATTGTGACAACCTTGATTGAGAATGCATCCAAATAACCTAATGAAATCTCAGAAAAATCATCTATTTTTCCCAAGATCTCAGCCAAGCATTTCCCCTTTATCAGAACATCAGAAAACATGTCAATAAACTTATGGTACAGTCTCTTCTCAACGAATCAGTCAAAAGTGAACATTGATGGTAGATTTGTCATGGGTCCTGTAACAGTGTCTGCCAGTGGTGTCATAGGGGCTAAGAGAGGCTTATAAATTAAAAGTTCCATGGTATACTTAGGCAAATGCTCAAGACTTGAACCAAGACCTTGAATTATCTTGTGTGCTTAGAATTCCAAAAATCATTGGCAACTGTGACTGCAAAAATCCTTGGCAATTGTGACTGCACGGGTTTGAGTCTCAAAGTTGTCACCTCATGCAAAAAAAATAACAAAGATTAGGTCTGCTTCTAACCTCCCCCTATCAGCACCTTGCATAGGTGGGATATACACACTGGGTAATGCTAAAAGGCTGGAGTTTAAATTGTCTTCTCTCTTATTGGAGAGGCTAAAGTATGCCAACTACCCCTTGGAGGTCTCATTGAAGAGGCAGAATTCTTCACAGGAAGCCTTGGGAATGCAGAAGTCAGCACACATTTAGAGAGGGAATAAATATGATGATTGCCTTACTAATGATAACAAGCAACCCAGGGAAAAAAAATGATGACCATAGTATCACTGATCGTGTCTAAGTTCTTGATGGATCTTCTGGTGGTCTTTGTCACCTCCCTACAACAGATGTGATGGAGCTACATATCCTTGCTTTTATATTTTTTGTTTATCCAATGATCTGTAAGAAGGATCCCCCTGCCCCCCTCCCAATGAATTGTAAGAAGGAAATTGAGACTAGGAGAATGTTGTTTTTAGTTTTCATTCTGACTTGTATGCCATTTGCATTTATTAACTATTGTTTAATTTGTTGTGCTTGGTGCAGAGGACCACTTTTGTTCTTTTTCATGTTCCTAAATTTTTCTTTTTGACTGGATTTATGCTATTGGAAATGTTACAGGCAAAAGAGCATTTAAAAATAAATAAAAAAAATTATTCTGAATAAACTTGAGACTGAAGTTATTGAGGAAATTTAATGTTTTAATTTTTGATAAGTAAGTTGTTGAGGAACTTTAAAGAGATATCATCATCAATTTTGCTGAATATCGCCTGAAACTTTGAAATGGTGGTGACTTTGATTTTGGTCTTCCCAAATGAATTTCTGTTTACTGATTGGACTAACAATTTGATGGGTCTGGTAAATATCTTTGTCTTGAGCAGATATTGAGATTCATCAAGACATTAGTAAACATTTTTGGGATCCACAACATTGGCCAAAACACGTGCTTGTTAGATACACATGGTTAGTGTCAACACACTGATGATACTTGAAAATATATTTTTACCATTTTTCTGATTATTAGTTGATGGGTTTGTTGGATTGTTTTTATTTTTATTTGAATATGATTATAATAAAATGATTGTATGGATTTTAGTGAATTAAAAGTCTCCATATTCTAACTGTATTTGTATTTCAGTAACAACTATATTAGTAGTTGCTGTTTATTGAGTTTTTGATTCGTAGTGTACTGCATTGACTTTGTCTCTATTTAGTTATGCTTCAGTTATCTGTAGTTCTGGATCTCTGAATCGTTGTTCATTAACTGTGATATCTATTGATTCTAACTTGGAATGTGTACTCATTTTTTGAATTTGAGACTCGGGTTGAATGTTTTGTACATTGATTTTATGTTTCCTGGACCGCTCCAATCTATTTTGTGTATAGATCATGAACCCTACGAGTTGGCAAACAACCTGGCCAAACCATCCAGAGCAGCTTTGTTCTGGATTATGATCATTTTTAGTAATATGAACATTTACTGAAAAATCTCAACCCTATATGTGGAAGGTGTAATCTGAACTTCTGCTTTCCTTCTGCATCTGCATGCATTCAAGTGGTATTTTGGAGCATTAATTAGTTACATACCTGAAATTAATAAATGCAGAACGATACCTCTTAATAACTGATGGAATTGTAATAATGAAGGGGGAGCTTGTTCTGGTCACAGTAATTTTTCATGATTTGTGCAAGTCATGATGTCTATGTTACCTTTAATAAAATTCAATTTCTAGTTCCTGTAAATACTGGACTTTACTTGACTTTTTGTTCTGTTGCGTGACAGGGAGGAGCAGTCAGATATAGATGTTGCTTCCGGATTTTATGTTTTGTTTGGATCAGGTAAAAATGTTCAGTTACAAAATAGATCAGTTATCTGTAGCAGTAGCATATATGATTTTTATGAAAATAACTAGAATCGATCATTTCAATGCATTGTGATCAAAATACTATTATTCTCATCACGTTGGATTCTAAGAGTTGTGCACACAAATGCCTGGTAGATGCACTCTTGTACGTAGTAGATTAGATCTTGAGGAGTGAATAGGTCTTCTCTTTTTGCTTTTGGTTGAGTAGGACTAAATTAATTACCAAGTTCAATTGTAGTCTAACTAGACATGCAATTGACCAAGAAAACAAACTAAAAAAATTCAAAGCAACAGTTGGTCTTTTTATAGTTCATAGTGGATTCATAAGTTCTAGATTAAATCCGATAGTTCATACTACTTTTTTTAATATCTATCGTGGTCTACCATTAATTTATTTGCATTCCCATATAATTCTCATCACTCCGTAAATTTATATCAACAAAAACTAATTAATAATGGGCTTTTCGCTTTACAAACATGCTTTCATCCACATTAATTATAATCTAACTGGGAAACCAATATAAACTATTTAATTTATATAAATTTTTTTAATGAATAATAAATAACCACATGTGACAATTCATATTCCTATTCAAATTGGAAACTATATTTATTATCCTGGAATTACAAGCCTGCCGAATTACCACAGACAATGGCGTTCTTGCCGGTTTAGGCTCCTATCTTTTAATCACTGGCAATTTCTCTCTTGTCAAACGCAATCACTACCCACGTTCTGCTTTCTTTCCAGAGTGATTATCAGCACCCTAGTTTGCTAAGGGCATGTTTGGCAACCGTTGCGGTTGCCTGTTTCATGTTGCGGGCCTGGTACTGTAGCAATAAGTTGGCCCACAACATGTTTGGTAATGCATTGCATGTTTTCTACATTAACCCATTTTGTGTCAAAAAAAGGGGCACAAAAACGAAGCAGAAAATTGGTGTCCTGTTACAAACTTTTTGACCCAGGTAATAAAAGCTCTTTCTTAAATGTTTCGGCCTATTTTCTTCCACATTTTCTCTCATCTCATCGAACCCTAGGGTCTAGCGATTTGGCCAGTCTCCATTGCTGATCGTGAAACTGCAACACTGAAGGTAATCTTGGTGGCGATGACCTCCAAACACACACAACCTCCGGTAAGTCTTCTCCCTTCGATTTGAGCTCTATTTTGTTCGGATCTATAAACCCTTTTAGAGTTTTGTATTTATAGAGCTCGAAGATGCGAAAGAGATCCATGCTTGTAGATGTTGAAACCAAGCCTCCGGGAAACAGATAGACAGATCTGTTTTGCAACCTTAGGGTCTATAAACCCTAGGATCGTGAAACTGAGATCCAAGAATGAAATCATTTTAGGGTTTACTTTGATTTCTAGATCTAATCATTTTAGTCTATAAACCCTAGAAAATTGATGTTTCTAGTTATCTGTTTTCTGTTACTTCGATTTCTAGATCTAATCAATTTTCTATTCTTTTGTTTGCAAGAACGAAATAAGACACTTCACGACTTCGATTTCTCTTGATCTTGTTCTTCTCCGGTGGAACTCTAGTCTATACTTGCCTCTCAGGTTGTTCTTTGACTCAGGTAAGGCTTGCCTCTCAGATTCTTCTTCGACCCAGTAAGGTAGCAGCTCCACTTGCCCCTCAGGTTGTTCTTCGACTCAGGTAAGGCAACCTGAGGGGCAAGTAAAGCTGCTAACTTAATGGGTCGAAGAAGAATCTGAGAGGCAAGCCTTACCTGAGCCGAAGAACAACCTGAGAGGCAAGTAGACACTGGAGTTCCATTGGAGAAGAACAAGATCAAGCGAAATTGAAGTAGTGAAGTGTCTGATTTTGTTCTTGGAAACAAAAAAGGTAGATAAATGATTAGATCTAGAAATCCAAGTTTCAGAAGGTTTATAGACTAAAGTGATTAGATCACCTAAATGATTTTGATCTTGGACCTTAGTTTTACGATCCTGGGTTGCAAAGCACATCTGTCGATATTTTTCTGGAGGTTAGTTCCACTATCTTGAAGAAAAACGACGGAAAGGACAAGTTCGAGCTTAGTTTCAAAATCTACAAGCATGGAACTCTTTCATATCTTCGAGCTCTATAAACCATAGGGTTGCAAAACACTTCTAGGATTATAGATCTAAATAAAATAGAGGTTAAATTGAAGGGAGAAGACTTACCAGGGTGTCATGTGTGTTTGGAGGTCGTCGCCGGCAAGAGTGTAAAAGCAAATGGGCCGCAACATTTCAGAAAGAGCTTTTATACCTGGTTCAGAAAGTTTTCAACAGGTCTGCTACTGTGCCAAAACAAATAGAAACATCCTTTCTGCTTCTTTTTTGGGTCACTTTTTGGACACAAATTGGGTTACTGTAGAAAACATCCAGACAGTAACCATTCAATGCATTACCAACTTGTTGCGGGCCAGCTTAACACTGCAGTACCTGGCCCGCAACATGAAACAGGCAACTGCTGCGGTTACCAACAGGCCAAAAGTATGTGTGTGTATGGAAGCTGATGACAATTTCCCATAAAAATGCGAAAGAGCTTCAAACTTATTTTTCTCTCCTATATCTCATGTAATACCTCTCTTCTATATCTTGCATTATGTTTTTGAAATCCTAAACTTTAATTTATATAGTTTTAGAAATCTGCTTTTTTGCATAAAACAAATCTCTTTAGAAATTGGAAACTGACAATTCTTGCCATAAGCCTTATGCATCTTGCATATTTTTTTGCATCAAATTCTCTACTAAGTTATGCATTGGGGTGTAAACTCTCTGTCATGTTTTGCATCCATACTTAATTTTCTTTTTTGCATAAATTTTTTGAAAGTACTTTTTAATGTGCTAATTTGAAACAAAATGTGCCTAGAGACCTAAGGCCTTTTAAAACACAAGGTTTTAGCAAAATAAAAAGTTTGCAAAAACTTAGCAGCAAAGTTAAATTCAAATCATATAAAATTTCAAATTTGGTCAATTTTTTTTAAAAATATACCTTATCCTATTTAGGGCTCGAAATGGAGCTGATCTGGAGTGGATTCATGTTATTCTAGACCTTGATTCATATATTGATGTCAGGATCCACATCCGAATCTGAATTTGAGACCGATCATATGGACATGAGCCATATCCAACATATAATTTAAACAAGATCAAAATATACTTGATCTGGACCAGGTCTCAGGTGAAACTCGATCCATTTAATCACCTAGATTAATATCCAACCCAAAACTGCGATGGATCTTTCAATGGAGATCCATATATTTCCCGTTTTGAATTCGGTTTCAAAATTAAAATCCAAAGCTGTCAAACTGGGCTTCGGATCAGATCGGATCAAATCTCGGGTCAAATCCAGTCCATTTCAAGCCCTAATCCTAATTTGTATGTAGAGTTGAAGTCATACTCAATCTTTGATTGAAGAATACTTGCTATCACCATCCAATAAACATCTGATTTGCTTCAAAATTTGTCAATCTTCGATCAGCACAACCTTGAGCATCTTCAAAGGTTATAATCATGATTTTTTACCAATGATGACTCAAAATAAAAGAATTTGACATGAAATTTGAGAACAAAAGGACACTAAGCCTAACAGGCAATTAAACAGTTATCAGACAAGCAAATCAGTCTTTAATTGACAATTTTCTGCTGTGTAGCCACTTGTTTCTTTATGATCAAAACCTAACTATTTGCTAAGATGGTTGAGTCGTTTGGTTTTTACCTTAAACTAGGGGTAAGACCTGGCTTTGACTTGCATGCTACTGCACCAACCACAAAATATGCCTTCCAAGCAGGGAAAGGGTTGATGTAGTATCTGTTTCAACAATGTTTTAACTATTACAATTTATGGTAAAAAGTAATTTGTGTGTGTATTTTGTATACTTACAAAATTAGCTCAGTAGCAGGTTCATGTCAACTTCACTGAAGGGGCTTGGGTTCCAATACCCCATAGCTGGCCCATAGGGATGGCAGGGTGTTTGAAAATAAAATAAAAAAGGTTGAATTGCAAGCATGCCTGTCCACAAGCTCACCGTTGTTGCTTTGTTGTATTGGAGCAGTAATGACTTAGGAGTCCTTAATCAAAATTGCTTTAATTTGGTCTTCTAGGCTGGGGCAGACTAGATTCCAAGTTTCTTTAGTTCTTCCACAAACCTCATGAGTTCATGATCAAACAATATACATCTTACAATCTAAGCTTTCGTCCTCAACTCTCTGATATTATTCATGCATGTATACAGGGCTTGTTTTGTCTTTTGTTCTCTCAATCTACATCTTGCAATCATCTCGGGATAAATTAGCAAGGTATAGTCTCTTCGTCTATTAGATGGTGGCTCTCTTTTGTCCTTTTACTTACTATAAGTTAAAACCAAAGAGCCAAAGATTACAAGCTACTAAATAGCTTGATACAAATGATTTTTGCACCATTTAATTTATCTAAACGTAGAATGTTGCAACTCTTTTCAGATTTATGAGGGAGACTATTGCGGAAAGCAGCATCCCTGCTGGAGGAGTAGCCAAAGTTGAATGATGGACCTATATGCAGTTACAAAATACCATCTTTTGCACAAGGCTATCAAGTTTTAAAGAAATGGTGAGATTCTTTGGAGAAACTTTGTACACAAGTAGTAAAAATTTTGTTTGTTCAAGAGGATCACAGTTCTCGGTTTTCCTTCTCTCTCTCTCTCTCTCTTTTTTTTCTTTTTTTTTTTTTTTTTGATGAAGGGACTAGGGAGTGAGAATTTGTTTTCTACATTGAATGTGAAAGGAAGATTGTATGCATTATTGTGGGACCTTTCAAAGAAGATATACCTCAAGGGTCAGGTTTCTGTAATGATCAAATATACTTATAAATGAAGACTTATATTTATATACATTAGAAATTTAGAACAAATAAATTACGAATCATTTAACAGTCTGCTAGAATCAAGGAGATGCAATAGCATGGTTATTTGTTGCTTTGAGGTTTCATGTTGAAGGACACAACCTCAAAGTCACCTAGTTTAGGTCCCCAAGCCACACATCCGAGACCCTAAGTTGATATCCTGAAAAGGTTCAATTGCCCACTCTTTTTAGTCAGGGAATTTCTGGAATAGTTGATGAGGAATAAGATTCCACTCCACCTGTGAATGTATCTATCATCTTTGTAATTTCTGACTCAATTTCTGACAGAAATCACGATTTTAAATGGCAGAGAGAGAGATGATGGTTGATCTTCTTGACCTTTATGTGTTGGTGTATTCAGGTTGGGATGCTGTGAGCCTGTGAGTATAGTTTTTTTTTTTTTTCACCCACTATGTATATATATATATGTCTACGAAGGTATGGACACGTAAAATGAGTTTTATTTATTTCTCAATTCATTTAATTCATTATTACTCAATCCATTCAATTCTTCAAAATGAAGTTGAAATTGCACGAGAGAGGATTTGGTATTGTGCACAACACAATACTTAGGTATGAGTAACGGATCGAGATCACTTTACACAGATTGTGATTCTCATAGTTAGTATGCACTTTACCGTTTTCACCTTTCCGTTCACTACATTGTGTTCGGTGCATAAAAGAGGATCCGAATTCTTAACACATACGTAGTAATTCAGGTATATCATATTTGCAAACACAATTTCAAATAATAGGTTGTGTGTCTTACCTATCAAATCAAAAAAAAGAAAAAAAAGAAAAGAAAATCCTATTGGTGTTCATAGTTCTCGCCGCACTCACATTGTAAAAAACTCGTAAAGTATGTGATCAATCAACCGATCACGAATTATAATTTTTTTTTTTTTAGTGTACCTAAATCATGCTTCAATTACAGACAAGACTCAGACTCGTAAATTTCTATAATGTACCTAAACAGTACTTTTATAGGGTGTTGAGTGTTGACTACATGACTTAGAATAGAAAGTGTTGGAGGTGGTATTAGTCCAGCGGTAAGGCATGTATTATTTGGGGCCTTTGGTTCGTGTTCAAAACCCACCAGCATCATTTTTCCTCCCCCTTTAATATCAAACTCCCTAATAGGTGTTGCCTTTGTTGAGTTGTGGTCCAAGTTCTTTTACGGTTCGGGTCAAGCTGTTATTCGATTATGACCCGAACCGGATATACAAAGGTGTTAGAGCATTTTTTTCTTTTCATATTTTTGTGCCACATTAATAATTCTGAAATAAAGATTCATAAACGATAATTGTGATTAGGGTTTGTGAGACTTGTACATCTCATTTCTTTTTTGTATACTAATATCTCTTCGTTAATCTTTATAATTACGTCAAATGTCGAAATATTAGGATTCTCTAATCAAAGTAGAACACAGATGCAGTAATAGCGACACTGGTGGGTACTGGGTAGTTGTGTTGCGCCGTAAACAAAAGAAGGTCTAGTAACGGGATGACAAGGCCTGATGCGTGACTCTGTCCAAATTAAGTTAGATTTTGGCTCAATCTTAAGTAGCAACGAAGCTAAAATTTTATTTAAACCAACTTAAAATGACAAGACCTGACTTTGGCTCAATCTTAAGTAGCAGACGGGGCTAAAATTTTATTTAAGCCAACTTAAAATGGAGAAGTCGATTAAATGAGCAACTCTTCCACTTTAAGTTTCAACATTTGTATTACAATCTTAAATAAAATATCAATTCTAATCCTAACTTGTAAATAAATATTACTTTTTGAATGATATAATTGTCCTTTTAGATTTACTCCATACTAATAATCTTTAATATTTTAAGTCTCTTTTGACAGGACAAAAAATAAAATAAAATAATTTTTTAAATAATTTTTTTTTATGAGACCAAAAAAAAATTATGTCGACCGGACCAAAAAAATAAAAAAAAGTACTAAAAGAAGAGAATTAATAAAAAAAAATTTGCTATTGAATAAATTATCTATTTTGATAAGACCCCCCTAAAAAAAGGCTTTCTTTTGACATGACCCAAAAAAAAGTTACCTCTTGAAAAAAAGTTAAATTTGTTGAATAAATATGTCTTTCCATTATACTAAAAAAAACTTTTTTGATAACCAGAAATAAAATTATTCTTTTGACATGACCCAAAAAAAAGTTACCTCTTGAAAAAAAGTTAAATTTGTTGAATAAATATGTCTTTCCATTATACTAAAAAAAAACTTTTTTGATAACCAGAAATAAAATTATTAGTATGGAATAAATTATTTTCTTTGAGGGACTTCCGAAAAAACAAAAAGAAGGGAAAAAAAATAGTAAAGAAAGTAAAGAAGGAAAAAAAAAAGTTAAGATTGTATAAAGGATAATTATAACATTATAAATTAAGGGATAGTTTATTAATGAATTCAAGGGCCTTCTCATCATTTATTTTATAAAAAAAAAAGTAAATGGAGTGAAATTGGAGAATATCGTCTCCCTATATTTAAACCATCTTACTAATTTAAAAAGAAAATAATATCTTAATTACATGTTTTCTTAAAAAGTTATAATTATAAAAGTAGACAACTAATATAAGATGAAAGGAATACTAAATATATGAGAAATGGGAGGGAGTTCTACTAATTTTAAGTAAGAGGGGGCTGACTCTGGGATATTAATGACATCCCCATTTACATAAACTAGTCAAGTTATCCGAATTTAAAATCATTATGTAATATTATATTATACACAAAATAAAAGGAAAAAGCGAGGGTAGCTTATCAATTATCATAGGGGGATAGAATAAGTAGTTTGTTTTTTTGAGATCACACTTCACGAAATATAGCAATTTTTGGTCCTGTTATATAAATTGCAATACATGTTTTTTTTGGGCAAAGGAGGGGGAGGGGGTGTATACAACATCACCAAGTATTGTATAAATTGCCATACGGCTTCATTAAATTAAAAAAATATCTCATTTCTTTGTTTTTTTCTACCTACTCAAAATGGGGGGACGAGGAGAGAGGGAGAGAAGAAATAATTAGTAATTTTCATTTTTAATCTTTCAAAAAATTTAGAATGAATATTTAATTTTTATAATTTTATATAATGAGGGTATATTGATAAAATAATGTAAAACACTCTTTTCCTTCCTTCTAACCGAAAAAAAAGAAAAAAAAAAATGTCACCCATCCATCATTTTTACTATTCATTCCATCAAATCAAACAAAAATTAAATAAAACATCTTTCCTTCGGCGTCTCCAATGCTCTCTCAAGTCCTCTCAAACTTAAAATATAAGAAATTTTGTTTTCTGATACATTATGATGTGCTATATAGTCTCTCAAAATATGAGATTTTCAAAACTTTTATCAAGTTGCTATAAGTTGAGAACTTGAGATGTTAAGTCTTTTTTTGAATTTTTGTGCAAATATGGGTTGTAAAGTCACATAGAAAAGCAATAATAATGTATTGATTAAAATAAGAAAAGTAATGATTAAAGTGTTAGTACAATTGAAGCAGAATTACTAAAATATAACATTTTAAATAAAATGTAAAATTGTTAAAATATAGCCTTTTGACACTGTAGTTCTTAAAATATAACTTTATCATGGAGAAATATCATTTTGCATTGGAGATGCTTTTAGGAAGATACCTCATCCATTCATTCTCATCTCTCATCTGTTCCATCCATTTTTATACACAAAATAAAATCATTATCTAATATTATATTATACACAAAATAAAAGGAAAAAAATGAGGGTAGCTTATCAATTATCCTAGGGGATAGAATTAATAAGTAGTTTTTTTTTTTTTTTTTTAACATCACACTTCATGAAATATAGCAATTTTTGGTAATGTTGTATAAATTGCTATACAATTTTTTGTTTTTGGCAAAGGAGGGGGAGGGGGGGTATATTAAAAAAATTACTATACCTCATTTCTTTGTATTTTTCTACCTGCTCAAAATTGGAAAAAGAGGAGAGAGAAAAAAGAAATAATTAGTAATTTTCATTTTTAACCTTCCAAAAAATTTAGAATGGATATCTAATTTTTATAATTTTTTATAATGAGGGTATATTGGTAAAATAATATAAAACCCTCTTTTCCTTCCTTTTGACAAAAAAAAAAAAAAATATATATATATATATATATATTGTCACCCATCCACTTTTTTTTTTACTATTCATTCTATCCAATCAAAATAAAAATTGAGTGAAACATCTCCCCTTCCTTATAAAAATATGGCTCATCTGTCCATCCTCATCTCATATTCGTTCCGTCCAACACATTAGGTTCTGTTAGTTTGACAAGATGTTTCCGTACTAACTCGCACATGATAAAGTTTGGGACCATGCACGTGCTCATTTTGGATGGATTCATATCTCCCAAGAATTAGAATACCTTCTGATTGGGTGAGAGGAAAAGAAAAAAAAATCATAGTTATGTTATCTTGAAAGAAAACTAACAATGTCAAATGGAACATTAATTCTCAATTCTAAAGAAGACAAAGCGTTGAAAAACCAAAACCTAACCGACCCTTCAAAATGTGTTATTTAATTAATGTGATAATATAGTTTAATATATAATTTAAATGAAACTAATCCTCGAGCAGCACAATTAAGCAGCCTAATGCTAGGGAAAATTAGTGGGAACCCATTACACATTTGTCATTTAATTATAATATTTTTACTTAAGTCACACAATTTTTTTTAATAGGTGTGGCTCTCATGTTCTGAACACGCTCTCGCTCTTACGCTCCGATCGCCCTCTCGTTCAAATTCTCACTGTTCATGACTTAATTTTGCCACTCTCCCGCTCACGTTTCCATTCTCGAATTTACTTTCGCTCCCGTTCTCGCTTTATGTGACTTAAGCCTTTACGTGAATATGTAAATTACATATTTTTATACAACTTAATATTTAGATATATATATGTTTGTGTATATATATAATAGCTATAAATTACTGCGGCTCCTGCATGTGTAGAGACAATAATTGGCCTAG